CCATAGAACGTTTATTTTTATTTTTCACAAGAAAAGGGCTCCGGGGCATATGGCATGTACCGGGCCCCCCAATATTGTACATGCATGAAGAGTCTCCTCTACTCCCCGGTGGTTCCTTTTTCCAGAATAATATTCCTTTACCAGGTTTTGTTGTGCCGCTGGTTCTGTGACCGTTTCTACCTGACGTAAACACCGGACTAGCGAGTACCCTATTCCTATCCTTTCCTGGCGCCATAACCTCTTTAATTTCTCTGCAATCACCCGGCTACCTACATAAACATAGAAATTCCAGCCTGGGTCGCTGAATTCCACAAATATGCGTTCTAAAGCGCTTATGTCTATCGATGCGGGTGTGCGAACTAATATGGTTGACAACTCTTCGTACGTTTTTGCTCTGGTTTCTTTTCCGGGGTCCTGTTTAGATTTTATAATTATCTGTTGTCTTTTATCATTAATGATTTCAAATACTTCGGGCAGTTCCGCGGGTCTGTCCATCGGGGTTGCATTTCCCTCGGCCTCAGTCAGGACTAAAGGGATCTCCGGTCCGCTTTCCGCCCACTCGCGTAGGTATCGTAGCGCGAATGTCTCCGTCGGGACTTCCTCATACTCGATTGCGTTCATTACTAGGTCCCGTGATAGTCAATCGGAGACCGCATTGTCGAAGCCCTTTTTATGTATTAGGTGGAAATCATAAGTGAGCGGGGTGGCCGAATGGGCTAACAAGTGTGCACAGCAGCGCCGTTCCCCGGCAATCTGACATTTTAGACAACGATGCAAAATAGTTCGAGTTCGCATCCCGGTGCCGGGGGAGTCTTTTAAATTCCTGCCCACACTCCCTGGCCCGGGAGAACTCCGTATAGCCTTAGAGGCGAGGAAGGGGAGGATCAAAAAAAAAAAAAAGTGGAAATCATAAGCCGCTAGACGTTCCTTCCACCGTGATACCCGTGCAGAAGTTCCTTTAAGAGTTCCGAGGTGTAATAAGGGCTTATGATCGGTCAGTAACTCGAACCGTCTCCCGCACACGTATGGTTGGAAGTATTCCACGGCCCATACTACCGCCAAAAGCTCGCGCTCGATTGCACTATAACGTTGTTCGGCTTCATTTAACTTCCGCCCCTTGTATACTATGGAAATCATAAGAGGGCGGGGTTGGTTTCTCGCCACCTTCGAAATTCTGGGGAACACGGGCCTGATAGCTACATCGCTGGCATCCTCGGTGATTTTGAACATTTTAGAGAAGTCGGGGAAAGCTAGTCGTGGGTGAATGGTCATAATCTCCCTGCATCTCTTGACGCATGCCACTAGCTTCAACCCGAAAACTTTTTTTTTCATAAAAATAACGATAATTACTTTGGACAAAAAGAAAGAAATGGTGTGTACCTATATGGTGTTTAAGTGATTCCTAAAGTCCTTTTAAATGTAATCACACGAATAATAATACTTTAAGAGATGATTTTAAAATATTTTTTCCATAAAATATGGTTATATTTTACTATTTTGGGGAGGGAGGGGCTTCAGCCCCAAAGTCCCCTCCCGCAGATTCGCCTGTGATGCATACTAGCTGGTCTGGGCCTAATTGAAATCGTCTTCCGTCCGTCCATTCCGCTTCCGGTTTTTCGAAACGGGTTTCGTTCCGCTCCCTTGCATCGACCAAGTCGTGGGCGCATTCTATAAAATCGCGGTCTCAATAATGGTGCAATTGCACCTTTAGCACGCCCCTTAGGAACTCCATCTTCTGGGCTCCTTCCACCGGGCCGCATGTTTCCACCATCTTCTAAGTCAGTCTATTGTATAACACCAAATAGCTTCTTTGCGAACTCACCCTCCGATTGGCCCTGGGCTCGGCGCTCTTTAAGTGAGTAGAAGACGTCCTTTTCCGGGGTCCACCTGCCACCGCCGTATAGCTTCTTGAGCCGTATCTTCAGCGTCTCCCAGGAGAGCGTCAAATCACCCTGTACGGCGTTTGAAACCCACCGCGAGATGCGACTAGTTAGAGAGAAGGCCTCCAGTAGTTTTACCTCGGATTCCAGCAATGTGTCTCTTGTCTGGTGGTTATCAAAGTTGTAATTTGGTCACCACCTTTGACAAAGTGCTCGAGGTCACCTACTACCACCGTGAACGGTTCTAGCTGGTTAATTACCTCTTGGATAAATACCGAGTTTTTCGTCCTTATTTTAAGCAACTTGTTGCGACAGGTGATTCCCGCCTCTTGCTACAGGGGACAACTAGGTCACCTACCCGCTACCTGGCAGCGCCATACAAGCTCGCTCGTGCGATGCACCTAAAATTGTATTTCTGATTCTTGTTGTTATATGATAAAATACCCAAATTGTAAATTGGAATATGTATATACATTGTAAATTTTTGTTTTGTTTATTTAATGAAATTTACAACTGTATACAAACACAACTAGTAAATATGCGCAAATATAAATAATGGCATGTACAGGCTTGAAGAGATACTACCCAGTGGCAGCACTCTCTAAATAATTTTAAGTAAAAAGATCACGAGGCCATCTCCTTTTCAGATGCCTAGGAGGATTATCAGGAATCGAGGAAGAAGCAAGAGTGGAAACAAGCGGATTTGGATGGGACTGAAGTTTATCATGAAAGGATAGATATCTGGCTCGAGCTAAATCAGCGACATATGGTACATTTAGGTTTTTATGAATGGTTTTATTTGTGACAAAGTATGGAGAATTTTTATGGAGCATGGAGCATGGCGTTTTAGGATGAGTTTTTCCAGGATTTTGCCCATGATAGGTAATAGAGAAATAGGACGGTAAGAGGATGGGTGTTCGGTTGGTTTTTTAGGTTTGTGTAACATTTTGACAATAGATAGTTTCCAAGAACCAGAGAAATATGTGGATCGGAGCACAGCATTGTATATGTAAGTGAGGAATAGGATGGCTTTCCGAGGAAGAAGTTTTAGGATCTGGGAAGTGATAAGGTCGTGTCCAGGAGCTTTTCGGGAAGCTATTATTCGAGCTATATCATTAACTAATCTGTTAATGATATTAGATATTTCCGAAGGATGAAATGCTTTAAGTGGAAGAGTCATTTGGAGTACATTGTAAATACTTTTTATTTATAAAGTTTTATGGCGATAACATATACTGATCAAAGCTTAAAAATAACTGTAATTGTAACTGCTCTTGATAGCCGGTTTAGTCTTGGCGGAATGAATACAGCAGTCATATCTCAAATTATGAGGTCCTCGGATCTCCACCTCTTCAAGCTATAGACATAGACTTAGATGGTCAGTATATGGTATATATACGCCTTTTAGTCTTCAAAAAACTGCTTTTCATTCCTCTTTGTCCCGATAGCATTTTTCCTCTTCTCTTACTCCATGCAAGCTTGGACGCTGATCCGTCCGCTTGTAGTCCTATATACTAAGTCAGGAGATTGATACCTTCGTTAGTATTACATCCTTCCACAAGTCTGGAGATTGGTCCCTCTGGTTGTGGTTGCCATCCTTGCGGAATGTTAAGGTTGATACCTTACAACGCAGACCGAGAATGATTGGGTGCTGATCCGCCTGTCACTTGAGGTCATCCTTCTATTCATCTTCCTCTTTCCAATAAGTCATCTTAACCATCTATAATGAACACACACTGTCGAGGCCTTCTGGTAACTGCATACTCCTCTGCACATTATACCTCGACAAACTCAATCTGTGTATCCTCGGTCGCTTTCGGTAGCTGGGTTTCCAGTTTCTTACGCTGCGCTTCCAATTACTGTCTCTCCACCGTAGACTGAGCACTGTTTCCGGGATTCCCGATAATATTGGCTGGGAGATGAAATTCGGAATTCTTCCCGGCTTTCGGCACCACTTATGATTAGAGTGAATGAATGAACTAAAAAAAGGGTGGTTTTGGACAGAGTAACAGAACAACTAACTTCATTATTGAATTCATCCAATTATTGATTATTGAATTCATCCATTATTGAATCCATATATAAGTTATGGATAGTAGCCAACTAATATTGATTTAATCCTATAGAGATTAGTTAAACAAAGACTAATACAATATATAGAAGATTACCAGAAAAATAAAGTCAGTCTTTAGCGAGTACTTGAGTGTGATCTTTCACATCTCTTTTCCTTTTTTTTTATTTATTATTTCTTGCCCGGACGATTGCAAGTGGTGCCGAAACCTGGGACCTCTAGATTCAGTCAGTAAGGTAGTTTTTTTTTCACGTTGGCAGAAATAATAAAGGAAAAAGATGCCGAACGGAGTTGGTCAACCGCCAGTACCGGTTGCACTGCAGGCTGCTCCATTAGTTCCTCCGCCAGCGTTTTCACAGCTGACATCCGAAGCCTTGGCAGCGGATTTCCCCCCTTTGCCAACGGAGAAGTTAGCAGCAAGGCATGCTACAACGTTAGAATGGCTGAAGGTTAGAACGGCGACGTCACAAGATTTGAGAAGTTGAATATTGGATCTTGAGAGGTTCGATGGCGGAGTCGGTGAGCTAAATCCCTTCCTTAAGGAGGGCGATCGGGTAATTCACGGAATTAAATCAACTGCCTTCCTAACATACGTCGATGTTCCAGAGTGTGGCTGTGGGTCAGGCTGTGGCTGTGAATCAGGCTGTGGCTGTAGTTGTGAATCAGGCTGTCCCAAAGAAGACAAGGATGCTGCTTCTGAATTCAGATTCTGGATCTGAAATGCCGGCTTGAGACGGTCCAGGGATACATTGCATTTAGTGCCGTCGTGCAACTGTATCTGGTACACCTTCTCACTCTTACTGGTTACTAAGTAAAGGCCTGAGAGACAATATCCCATTCCTTTAGATGACGGCAAAGGACCGATGAGATCAATGTGGACATGTTCAAATCGTCCGCAGCCAGAAAAGATACCGGGAGGAGCAACAGTACGGCTGGCAAGCTGGTGAGCGCTGGCAAGGAGTGCATGCGCGAGCCCAGTTGGCGACATCTTCATTGAGAGACGGCCAAAAATATTTCCCTCCAAGACGTCGACTGGTTCTCATTCCTGGATGGCTGTTGTCATGGGATTTGGCAGAACAGCTGTGGCGGAAGGTATGAGGGATGTAAGGCCTTGCCTGAGGCTTAGTTGTCTCGCACCAGATGGTAATATTAGCACCAGATAGAATAAATTTCTCGAGTTGCAGATTCTCCTGGGCGAGTAGCTTGGGTAGCTCTCCGTCGGCTTCCGGCTCCTTCGATAACTGATCCCAGTCCTCATCCAGGGAAAACTTCTCAATCCTCGACAGTGCGTCCGCGACTGGATTGGCGATGCCCTCGATTTGTTGAATATCCGTTGAAAATTAGGAAATGAAACTCCAACGGATCCGCATGGGTGTTCCTGAACTGTTCTTCTGCCGGAATGCATAGGTGAGAGGCTTGTGGTCCATTAAAGATAATGAATTGCCTCCCCTCTACTACTGGCCGAAAGTACTTAATAGCCATGAGAATAGTCAGTAGTTCACAGTCATAAGCGGAGTAATTGCGCTGAGCAGGTGAGAGCGCTTTCGAGAAGAACCCTAGCGGGACCCATTTGTTATTTTCCCATTGCTGTAGTACAGCTCCAACACACGTATCAGAAGTGTCACAAACTAAGGATAAGCGGGAGTCATTTGCAGGATGCCCAAGGTAGGTGACATTCTGTAGAGCCTCTTTGCACTTTTTAAATGCCTGCTCAGCCTCAGGTGTCCATTCAACCAGGCGTTGCTCGTTCTTCTTAGCCTCATGCAGGTAGCCGTTGAGAGGTTTCTGTAGATGCGTAGCATTTCGGAGGAAGGATGATAGAAATTTAGCATGGCTAAGAACCGTAAAAGGCCCTTGATAGTGGTAGGTTTCGGGTAAGAGATGATGGCTTCGATGCGCTGATCCATCGGCTTGATACCCTCTGCTGATACCCTATACCCTAGGAAATCAATATCTGGTTGTCCGAGGAGGCATTTGTCTGGGTTGACAGTAAGGCCAAACTCATTCAGGTGACGCATAACCTGACGGAGGTGGTCTTCATGTTCTTCTGCTGATGAAGAAAACACCAAAATGTCATCTAGGTAGGCGAAACAAAAATTGAAATCCCGGAGAGCTTGATCCATTAGGCGCTGAAAAGTCTGACTTACGTTTCTCAACCCTGGGCAAACAAATTCATATTGTAAGGTTACGTTCCCTTTGAAAAGTAAACAAAACAGCTCCTGAACAAAATAATATTTATTTTAATCAATAACTAATTCTCAGGTTGGGTTGAGACAACAAACACACATCCATAATTATAGAATATAAAAGCATGCATTAATTATACAACGCATTTATGAATTTCCATGAGTCTACTCTTGGCACGCTTTCGATCTGTCATTATATATTTTTCACTCACCCTGCTCTGCAGCGACTTCTCTATATTGCTGCATTCGACTGCCACAACCTTGTACTGACACTGACTACTTGTTTCTCGATCACTCGATTACTCGCCAGCCGGTCACTTTCTGCCTTAACACCTGGCTCCTCTTTCCCTACCATTTGTCATTGTTTGTCCATTTTGACAGTAGTTTATGACATTACTGCCCTTACGCCACTATTCAAAATCACTACGTAATATTTACATTACGTTCTCCTCCGTTCCAGTCAAAAAACAATAAAAATAGAAATTCATAATTTGGTGAAATATTTAATTTTTTTTATATACACTGACAGGAAAAAAAATTCCACTCACTTGATTTTTTCATGTTTTCATCTAAAAATATTTCTGCTTTGGATTGGTCTATTGTTTTTAATGAATAAATAGGTAATCTTTTTGTTTGTTTACAATTAGGAATGTTAATATAGAGGACAATAACCCTTAATCCTTAATTCAATGAAATGATTCGAGATTCCAAATAGACTTGAATATCACAATAAACAGATTTCAACTTCTTGCTCAAGCAAAAGTATAACTCTTCAGTTTAACATTAGATGAGCAAATGAATTTCAAAACACATTTATTTTAGAGAATTATTATTGAAGTAAAAGAAGCATTAATAAAACCTCTCAGTATAATTAGTAAAACCTTTTCCACCCTCAAACACTTAAATAGCCTGCGACACCTTTTTCCTTTTGAAATCCGTAGACTCCTGGTCACCTTCTTAATTTTTCCCCACTTCGACTATTGCTGCACAGTATATGGGGGCGTCTCTGGGGATCTCGAGGCGAAACTAAAACGTTTGATAAATGGCTTTGTACGATTCATCTTCGGGATCCCAAGAGACGCCCCTGTTTCCTGTTTCTATGAAGAGTTGAAGTGGCTTTATCCTTCCTACTGCCATAAGTATTTCCTGGCATCCTTCCTCTTCCAAGTAATTCACTCCCGCCCTCCTTCATACATCGCCGAACTCCTTCAATTTAAATCCCCTATCCACTCCCGCAATACCCGTTCCCGGTCTTCAGATTTATATAAAATGGCCCACCATGGTTTTCTTGTGTTTTCTCCCAAGGTCTGATGAGGTTCAAAGATGAAATCATGGAAAAAATAAGAAACCAACACGCATCCAAGGACATCGACAGAGAGTTAAACTCTAAATCAAACCCAAGATATAGGAAAATCTGCTCCTTTAATGTTACCAGACCAGAGAATTATCTTCAGCCCTGAGGCTCTGAATTTAAACAAATTAAGAAAAATTTAAGAAAAGAAAGAGCGCCAACCCTAAAATTCATCAAAGACAAGGAACGAAACATTCTCAGGCAGAAGGATGAGATAATGGAAAGGTGGAGGGAATACTTCCAAGATCTGTTAAATGAAAATGTACAGACACCCTGTGTAGATGAAGAGACAAGAGAGGTAGGTCCATGGGAAGAGGACGACATTATTGGCGATGACGAATTGGAAGAAGCAATCTGGAGTATGAAGCTAGGGAAATCCGCAGGTAGTGATGGTGTAACTCCTGAAATGCTAAGTCGAAAGGAAAAGAAATCTTGCTGCATCTGCTAAACTTAGTGTGGAAGCAGAAGAAAACACCGCAGGATTGGGAAGTGGCCATCATCGTCCCTATCTTTAAGAAAGGAGATAACAGAGATTGTAACAACCACCGAGGCATATCTCTGTTGAGCGTACCAAGTAAGATTTACTCTAAGATCTTGGAAAAAAGAATAAGAAGAAGAATCGAAGGATTACTCGAAGAAGAACAATACGGATTTCGAGAAAATCGTAGCACCCAGGATCTTATCTTTACCATACTGACAAGTTTTTGAAAAAGTATTGGAGAAAGAAAAGGAAATGTCGGTGTGCTTTGTTAATCTTACAAAGGCCTTCGATCGGGTGAGAAAGTCTGATATCTTGGAGGCCTTGAGAGAAAAAGGGATTGATCAAGGTCATGTTCTTGCGGTGGAGAGTCTCTACAAGAAAACAAGAAATATAGTAAGATTTGCCAACTGCACTTCACAGGAAATCAAGACAACAATTGGAATCCGGTAAGGTTGTAGTCTTAGTCCACTTTTGTTTATACTAGTGTTGGACTCAGCAATACGAAGGGCTAAAGGAAAAATGCGGAAATTTCACCTGGGATATGCCAACCTGAGATCAGTGAGCCTCTCAATACTTGCATTCGCTGACGACGTTGTTATTTTTTCTGACAGTGACAGGAATCTTCAGTACTATATTAATGGATTAAAAGAAGAATTGCAGAAGATTAATATGATTATCAATCCTGCAAAAACGAAAGTAATGAGAGTTGGGAAGAAGACTAGGAGAAATATGCGCGTCATCAGAGTCGAAGACAGAATCCTCGAGCAGGTAGAAAACTTCAAATACTTGGGCGCACACCTTAATGAAAATGGATACATCGATACAGAGGTGACTGAGCGAATCGCTGCTGTAAGCAGGATGTTTGAGGCAGTTAAGAGAGGTTTTCTGAACAGGAGCGAGGTGGAAAAGAAAAGAAAAGTAGCTGTTTTCAGATCGACATTTCTTCCCATATTAACATACTCTTTAGAATCATGGACGCTGACAAAGAAACATCGATCAAGGATACAAGCGTCAGAAATGCGATTCCTCCGAAAGATTGAGGGGAAAACGAGAAAAGATAGAGTACGCAACACCACCATCAAGTCGAATCTCAATATTAAGCCGACCAATGATGTGATTGAGGAGAATCAACTGAGATGGCTAGGACATCTTCTGCGGATGTAACCAAACAGAATAGCTAGCGAAACCTATCAAACTAAAGTAGACGGCAAGAGAGGAAGAGAACGGCCTAGAAGGAAATGGGAAGATGAAGTAAAGAGCGATTTCCAGAGGTCTTCAATGGAACAATAGAAGGCGTCTTGTTGAAGACCGGCAGAACTGGAGAAGGCTCTATGAACTTCCTCCCCACACTGCTTCAACACACTGCTTCAACACACTGGTTCAACAGGATAGATTATGATGATGATGATACTTAAAAGATGCTACTTTGACTATTAAATCTAGTAAGGTCTGTGGTGCATGCAACTGCCTTGTAACTGACCCGGTAACTCATTTTCTGATCCAATGTATCAAGTTCAACGAACCAAGAAGTAAGTACTTGAAGACATTTATCACTGAATCCAGAGAAGATGCTAGTGTGGAGGAGAAACTGAAAATAGACACTATGAAAAAAATAAACCAACTGTATTATTTCATACAGGGATGTACATTGAACTGTTAAGTAGTATAGTTAATCATATAACACATATTAATGCTTATTTATATTGTCATTTGTCTTATACCTCTGGAATATTTAAAAAAAAAAAAAAGTATTATTGAAAAAAAAATGTTTTACGAATTATAATATATATATTGTTTACTAATCTGTTATTATATTAGTACTTAATGCTGTGGACATTGTTAATGTTATGTTTGAATGCAGTACTAGACTCAAGATCTAACATTGTTAATTATACCATTATATTTATTTGTACAGGAATTTCCTTAGACAAATAAAATAAACTATACTATACTACTATATAATGGAACACCAAACCGCTGCATTCGATAAATCTTTTATTATTCGATCCTCTTCCCTGTGGAACTCCATCCCTCCCCACATCCGTCAATCCAAAACCCTTCCTACCTTTAAATCCCAACTGTTTAATAATTTCTTATCCATCCAGTCCTGATAAAATTGTAAATAGTTACAACTGTAAATATTTATATAAATTATTTGATCGTTCTTTATTATTTTTACTTCATGTTTATTTTCAATTTTTTTATTTTTTATTATTAACTGATGTAAATAAGAAAGTAACTTATAAATTCTCTTATTATTTTTATTTCTTTATTTATATATATATATATTTTTTTTCTTTACTATTTAATCAAACTATAATCTTGTTTATGCATACCTGAGGTTTTTTAGCCCAAATTTTTGTCTCTCTGTATTATTCTAAAGGGACTCGTCCCAAAATTAATAAAGCATTATTATTATCATCATCTTTAATAAAATAATTAACCAAAAGTCAATACCACTGGAGTAAAAAGGGAGCAAGACTGTTGTCCTCCATAATAAAGGAAAAAAAAAGAATTTAGAGAACTTTCGCCCTATATCACTAATATAATAAAAATAAAATTATAAACACTATTTACCAGGACCATGATATAGAGCAAGCTGGATTTCGACCCACATTCAGAACAATAGATAACTTCAATGTGTAACCACATCAATGAGAAAAGTAGAGAACATAGCTTACAAGTTTAATTATGTTTTATTGACTATTACAAGGCATAGTCGCAGTGCATAGGCACCTACATGATTCGATGAGACATAAATATATTTGGGAAGCTCTAAAAGAATGTGGTGTTCACAAACTCAACATTAATGTAATCACTGAACTATATAGGAATCGAAAGGCATTAATAGCTTTAAATAGGGAAGGTGATTACCTTGAAGTTGAAGTAGGAGTTAAACAAAGGTGCCCTCTATCTCCAATTTTATTCAATTCAATTAAAAACAAACTGTTAAAAGAATAGAATTGGGAGAACCAGGGGATATCAATCAATAGGAAAACACTGAGCGAAATAAGATTTTCTGAACACATTTGCCAAGTATATCTAAATTGACCAAGAACTAATGCTAGAGGTCTGAAGGCGACTGATTCAACACGGGAAACCTCACCAGGCAATTATTACGTTGGAAGGATTGACAGATCGAGAGCTCTTTCTCAATTCAACCGGTACAGGACAGCCTTTCTTCAGACTGACGCCTGCACGAAAAGGTGGTTCAGGTTCATTCTTGACAGGCTGCAGCCTGGAAGAAAAACTGAAGTGATGGGTCCTAACCCAGGAACTCTCCAGTTGGAAGAGTCTGGAGATGGCTCATAATGACTTTTGGCCATAAGATCCACAATGAAGAACCGAATTATAAACAACAAAAAAAAAAAAAAATGGGCCATACTTAGGCTAGGTAGAGGGGGGCAAATGGGTTGGGTCAATTTCCAAATAATTGACTTTAATATCACAATAAACAGATTTCACCTTCTTGCTCAAGCAAAAGTATAACTCTTCAGTTTAATATTAGATGAGCAAATGAATTTCAAAAGACATTTATTTTAGGGAATTATTATTGAAGGTAAAGAAGCATTAATAAAACCTCTCAGTATCATCATTAATAAAATAATTAAGGAAAAGTCAATACTGCTGGAGTGAAAAGGGAGCAAGACTGTTGTTCTCCATAAAAAAGGAAAAAAGAAAAATTTACCAGGACCATGATATAGAGCAAGCTGGATTTCGACCCACATTCAGTACAATAGATAACTTTAATGTGTAACCACATCATTGAGAAAAGTAGAGAATAGGGCTTACAAGTTTAATAATGTTTTGTTGACTATTACAAGGCATAGTAGTAGTGCATAGGCACCTCCAACATTCGATCAGACATAAATATATTTGGGAAGCTCTAAAAGAATGTGGTGTTGACAAACTCTACATTGATGAAATCACTGAACTATGTAGGAATCGAAAGGCATTTATAGCTTTAGATAGGGAAGGTGATTACTTTAAAGTTGAAGGAGGAGATAAACAAGGGTGCCCTCTATCTCCAATTTTATTCAATTGTGTTCTAAACAAACTGTCAAAAGAATAGAATTGGGAGAACCAGGGGATATCAATCAATAGGAAAACACTGAGCGAAATAAGATTTGCTGATTACATTTGCCAAGTATATCTAAATTGATAAAGAATGGATGATTGATGTCTGAAGGCGATTGACTCAACACGGGAAACTTCACCAGGCCGACACATTGAAAGGATTGAAAGATCGAGAGCTCTTTCTCGATTCAACGGGTACAGAACAGCCATTCTTCATACTGACGCCTGCACGAAAAGATGGTTCAGGTTCATTCTTGGCAGGCTGCAGCCCGGAAGAGAAACTGAAGCGATGGGTCCTAACCCAGGTACTTTCCAGTTGGAACAGTCTGAAGACGGCTCATAATGAATTTTGGCCATAAGATCCACAATGAAGAACCGAATTATAACATTAGATGAGCAAATGAATTTCAAAACACATTTATTTTAGAGAATTGTTATTGTAGGGAAAGAAGCATTAATAAAACCTCCCAGTATCTTCATTAATAAAACAATTAACAAAAATTCAATACTGCTGCGGAGAAAAGGGAGCAAGTCTGTTGTTCGGCAAAAAAAAAGGAAAAAGAAAAATTTATCAAACTTTCGCCCTATCACACTGTGTGAAGGGCGTGAAGTGATAACCACATCATTGAGAAAAGTAGAGAATATAGCTTTCTTCATACTGACGCCTGCAAGAAAAGGTGGTTCAGGTTCATTCTTGGCAGGCTGCAGCCTGGAAGAGAAACTGAAGTGATGGGTCCTAACCCAGGTACTCTCTAGTTGGAACAGTCTGAAGACGGCTCATAATGAATTTTGGCCATAAGATCCACAATGAAGAACCGAATTATAAACAAAAAAAAAAAAAAGTAGGCCATACTAAGGCTAGGTGTAGGGGGGCAAATGGGTAGGGTCAATTTCCAAATAATTGACTTTAATATCACAATAAACAGATTTCAACTACTTGCTCAAGCAAAAGTATAAATCTTCAGTTTAACATTAGATGAGCAAATGAATTTCAAAACACATTTATTTTAGTGAATTATTATTCCCTACACTGTGTGAAGGGCGTGAAGTGATAACCACATCATTGAGAAAAGTAGAGAATATAGCTTACAAGTTTAATAATGTTTTGTTGACTATTACAAGGCATAGTAGTAGTGCATAGGCACCTCCATAATTCGATCAGACATAAATATATTTGGGAAGCTCTAAAAGAATGTGGTGTTGACAAACTCTACATTGATGAAATCACTGAACTATGTAGGAATCGAAAGGCATTTATAGCTTTAGATAGGGAAGGTGATTACTTTAAAGTTGAAGGAGGAGTTAAACAAGGGTGCCCTCTATCTCCAATTTTATTCAATTGTGTTCTAAACAAACTGTCAAAAGAATAGAATTGGGAGAACCAGGGGATATCAATCAATAGGAAAACACTGAGCGAAATAAGATTTGCTGATTACATTTGCCAAGTATATCTAAATTGATAAAGAATGAATGATTGATGTCTGAAGGCGATTGACTCAACAGGGGAAACCTCACCAGGCTGACACGTTGGAAGGATTGACAAATCGAGAGCTCTTTCTCGATTCAACGGGTACAGAACAGCCATTCTTCATACTGACGCCTGCACGAAAAGATGGTTCAGGTTCATTCTTGGCAGGCTGCAGCCCGGAAGAGAAACTGAAGCGATGGGTCCTAACCCAGGTACTTTCCAGTTGGAACAGTCTGAAGACGGCTCATAATGAATTTTGGCCATAAGATCCACAATGAAGAACCGAATTATAACATTAGATGAGCAAATGAATTTCAAAACACATTTATTTTAGAGAATTGTTATTGTAGGGAAAGAAGCATTAATAAAACCTCCCAGTATCTTCATTAATAAAACAATTAACAAAAATTCAATACTGCTGCGGAGAAAAGGGAGCAAGTCTGTTGTTCGGCAAAAAAAAAGGAAAAAGAAAAATTTATCAAACTTTCGCCCTATCACACTGTGTGAAGGGCGTGAAGTGATAACCACATCATTGAGAAAAGTAGAGAATATAGCTTTCTTCATACTGACGCCTGCAAGAAAAGGTGGTTCAGGTTCATTCTTGGCAGGCTGCAGCCTGGAAGAGAAACTGAAGTGATGGGTCCTAACCCAGGTACTCTCTAGTTGGAACAGTCTGAAGACGGCTCATAATGAATTTTGGCCATAAGATCCACAATGAAGAACCGAATTATAAACAAAAAAAAAAAAAAAGTAGGCCATACTAAGGCTAGGTGTAGGGGGGCAAATGGGTAGGGTCAATTTCCAAATAATTGACTTTAATATCACAATAAACAGATTTCAACTACTTGCTCAAGCAAAAGTATAAATCTTCAGTTTAACATTAGATGAGCAAATGAATTTCAAAACACATTTATTTTAGTGAATTATTATTCCCTACACTGTGTGAAGGGCGTGAAGTGATAACCACATCATTGAGAAAAGTAGAGAATATAGCTTACAAGTTTAATAATGTTTTGTTGACTATTACAAGGCATAGTCGTAGTGCATAGGCACCTCCATGATTCGATCAGACATAAATATATTTGGGAAGCTCTAAAAGAATGTGGTGTTGACAAACTCTACATTGATGAAATCACTGAACTATGTAGGAATCGAAAGGCAATTATAGCTTTAGATAGGGAAGGTGATTACTTTAAAGTTGAAGGAGGAGTTAAACAAGGGTGCCCTCTATCTCCAATTTTATTCAATTGTGTTCTAAACAAACTGTCAAAAGAATAGAATTGGGAGAACCAGGGGATATCAATCAATAGGAAAACACTGAGCGAAATAAGATTTGCTGATTACATTTGCCAAGTATATCTAAATTGATAAAGAATGAATGATTGATGTCTGAAGGCGATTGACTCAACAGGGGAAACCTCACCAGGCTGACACGTTGGAAGGATTGACAAATCGAGAGCTCTTTCTCGATTCAACGGGTACAGAACAGCCATTCTTCATACTGACGCCTGCACGAAAAGATGGTTCAGGTTCATTCTTGGCAGGCTGCAGCCCGGAAGAGAAACTGAAGCGATGGGTCCTAACCCAGATACTTTCCAGTTGGAACAGTCTGAAGACGGCTCATAATGAATTTTGGCCATAAGATCCACAATGAAGAACCGAATTATAACATTAGATGAGCAAATGAATTTCAAAACACATTTATTTTAGAGAATTGTTATTGTAGGGAAAGAAGCATTAATAAAACCTCCCAGTATCTTCATTAATAAAATAATTAACAAAAATTCAATACTGCTGCGGAGAAAAGGGAGCAAGTCTGTTGTTCGGCAAAAAAAAAGGAAAAAGAAAAATTTATCAAACTTTCGCCCTATCACACTGTGTGAAGGGCGTGAAGTGATAACCACATCATTGAGAAAAGTAGAGAATATAGCTTTCTTCATACTGACGCCTGCAAGAAAAGGTGGTTCAGGTTCATTCTTGGCAGGCTGCAGCCTGGAAGAGAAACTGAAGTGATGGGTCCTAACCCAGGTACTCTCTAGTTGGAACAGTCTGAAGACGGCTCATAATGAATTTTGGCCATAAGATCCACAATGAAGAACCGAATTATAAACAAAAAAAAAAAAAAAAGTAGGCCATACTAAGGCTAGGTGTAGGGGGGCAAATGGGTAGGGTCAATTTCCAAATAATTGACTTTAATATCACAATAAACAGATTTCAACTACTTGCTCAAGCAAAAGTATAAATCTTCAGTTTAACATTAGATGAGCAAATGAATTTCAAAACACATTTATTTTAGTGAATTATTATTCCCTACACTGTGTGAAGGGCGTGAAGTGATAACCACATCATTGAGAAAAGTAGAGAATATAGCTTACAAGTTTAATTATGATTTGTTGACTATTACATGGCATAGTCGTAGTGCATAGACACCTCCATGATTCGATCAGACATAAATATATGTGGGGAGCTCTAAAAGAATGTGGTGTTGACAAACTCTACATTCATGTAATCACTGAACTATATAGGAATCGAAAGGCATTTATAGCTTTAGATAGGGAAGGTGATTACTTTGAAGTTGAAGGAGGAGTTAAACAAGGGTGCCCTCTATCTCCAATTGTTTGTTCAGCTAGGAGTTTCACTTAAAACTGGAAAATAAGGGTAAGGGTGGGTATTGGGGAATTTTCTGACAAAAATATAGAGAATTGAGGAAGTTTGATAATATTTAAACAAAAATTATAAACAATGTGAATAAGCTTATTACGATTATAAACAGAAAGTACATTAAAATATAAACAGAGTAAGCTAAATAACAACATCCCAAACTGGAGTAAATAGATGGTAACATTTGTTATAGTGTAATATAACATCATAGCTTTAGATAGGGAAGGCGATTACTTTGATGTTGAAGGAGGATTGAAACAAGGGTGCCCTTTATCTCCAACTTTATTCAATTGTGTTCTAAACAAACTGTTAAAAGAATTGAATTGGGAGAACCACGGGATATCAATCAATAGGAAAACACTGAGCTAAATAAGATATGCTGACAACATTTGCCAAGTATATCTAAATTGATAAAGAACGAATGATTGATGTCTGAAGGCGATTGACTCAACACGGGAAACCTCACCAGGCTGACACATTGGAAGGATTGACAGATCGAGAGCTCTTTCTCGATTCAACGGGTACAGAACAGCCATTCTTCATACTGACGCCTGCACGAAAAGATGGTTCAGGTTCATTCTTGGCAGGCTGCAGCCTGGAAGAGAAACTGAAGCGATGGGTCCTAACCCAGGTACTTTCCAGTTGGAACAGTCTGAAGACGGCTCATAATGAATTTTGGCCATAAGATCCACAATGAAGAACCGAATTATAACATTAGATGAGCAAATGAATTTCAAAACACATTTATTTTAGAGAATTATTATTGTAGGGAAAGAAGCATTAATAAAACTTCTCAGTATCATCATTAATAAAATAATTAACAAAAGTTGAATACTGCTGCGGAGAAAAGGGAGCAAGCCTGTTGTTCGGCATAAAAAAAAGAAAAAAGAAAAATTTATCAAACTTTCGCTATCACACTGTGTGAAGGGCGTGAAGTGATAATCACATCATTAAGAAAAGTAGAGAATATAGCTTACAAGTTTAATTATGATTTGTTGACTATTACATGGCATAGTCGTAGTGCATAGGCACCTCCATGATTCGATCAGACATAAATATATTTGGGGAGCTCTAAAAGAATGTGGTGTTGACAAACTCTACATTCATGTAATCACTGAACTATATAGGAATCGAAAGGCATTTATAGCTTTAGATAGGGAAGGTGATTACTTTGAAGTTGAAGGAGGAGTTAAACAAGGGTGCCCTCTATCTCCAATTGTTTGTTCAGCTAGGAGTTTCACTTAAAACTGGAAAATAAGGGTAAGGGTGGGTATTGGGGAATTTTCTGACAAAAATATAGAGAATTGAGGAAGTTTGATAATATTTAAACAAAAATTATAAACAATGTGAATAAGCTTATTACGATTATAAACAGAAAGTACATTAAAATATAAACAGAGTAAGCTAAATAACAACATCCCAAACTGGAGTAAATAGATGGTAACATTTGTTATAGTGTAATATAACATCATAGCTTTAGATAGGGAAGGCGATTACTTTGATGTTGAAGGAGGATTGAAACAAGGGTGCCCTTTATCTCCAACTTTATTCAATTGTGTTCTAAACAAACTGTTAAAAGAATTGAATTGGGAGAACCACGGGATATCAATCAATAGGAAAACACTGAGCTAAATAAGATATGCTGACAACATTTGCCAAGTATATCTAAATTGATAAAGAACGAATGATTGATGTCTGAAGGCGATTGACTCAACACGGGAAACTTCACCAGGCCGACACATTGAAAGGATTGACAGATCGAGAGCTCTTTCTCGATTCAACGGGTACAGAACAGCCATTCTTCATACTGACGCCTGCACGAAAAGATGGTTCAGGTTCATTCTTGGCAGGCTGCAGCCTGGAAGAGAAACTGAAGCGATGGGTCCTAACCCAGGTACTTTCCAGTTGGAACAGTCTGAAGACGGCTCATAATGAATTTTGGCCATAAGATCCACAATGAAGAACCGAATTATAACATTAGATGAGCAAATGAATTTCAAAACACATTTATTTTAGAGAATTATTATTGTAGGGAAAGAAGCATTAATAAAACTTCTCAGTATCATCATTAATAAAATAATTAACAAAAGTTGAATACTGCTGCGGAGAAAAGGGAGCAAGCCTGTTGTTCGGCATAAAAAAAAGAAAAAAGAAAAATTTATCAAACTTTCGCTATCACACTGTGTGAAGGGCGTGAAGTGATAATCACATCATTAAGAAAAGTAGAGAATATAGCTTACAAGTTTAATTATGATTTGTTGACTATTACATGGCATAGTCGTAGTGCATAGGCACCTCCATGATTCGATCAGACATAAATATATTTGGGGAGCTCTAAAAGAATGTGGTGTTGACAAACTCTACATTCATGTAATCACTGAACTATATAGGAATCGAAAGGCATTTATAGCTTTAGATAGGGAAGGTGATTACTTTGAATTTGAAGGAGGAGTTAAACAAGGGTGCCCTCTATCTCCAATTGTTTGTTCAGCTAGGAGTTTCACTTAAAACTGGAAAATAAGGGTAAGGGTGGGTATTGGGGAATTTTCTGACAAAAATATAGAGAATTGCGGAAGTTTGATAATATTTAAACAAAAATTATAAACAATGTGAATAAGCTTATTACGATTATAAACAGAAAGTACATTAAAATATAAACAGAGTAAGCTAAATAACAACATCCAAACTGGAGTAAATAGATGGTAACATTTGTTATAGTGTAATATAACATCATAGCTTTAGATAGGGAAGGCGATTACTTTGATGTTGAAGGAGGATTGAAACAAGGGTGCCCTTTATCTCCAACTTTATTCAATTGTGTTCTAAACAAACTGTTAAAAGAATTGAATTGGGAGAACCACGGGATATCAATCAATAGGAAAACACTGAGCTAAATAAGATACGCTGACAACATTTGCCAAGTATATCTAAATTGATAAAGAACGAATGATTGATGTCTGAAGGCGATTGACTCAACACGGGAAACTTCACCAGGCCGACACATTGAAAGGATTCACAGATCGAGAACTCTTCCTCGATTCAACGGGTACAGAACAGCCATTCTTCATACTGACGCCTGCACGAAAAGATGGTTCAGGTTCATTCTTGGCAGGCTGCAGCCTGGAAGAGAAACTCAAGCGATGGGTCCTAACCCAGGTACTTTCCAGTTTGAACAGTCTGAAGACGGCTCATAATGAATTTTGGCCATAAGATCCACAATGAAGAACCGAATTATGACATTAGATGAGCAAATGAATTTCAAAACACATTTATTTTAGTGAATTATTATTCCCTACACTGTGTGAAGGGCGTGAAGTGATAACAACATCATTAAGAAAAGTAGAGAATATAGCTTACAAGTTTAATTATGATTTGTTGACTATTACATGGCATAGTCGTAGTGCATAGGCACCTCCATGATTCGATCAGACATAAATATATTTGGGGAGCTCTAAAAGAATGTGGTGTTGACAAACTCTACATTCATGTAATCACTGAACTATATAGGAATCGAAAGGCATTTATAGCTTTAGATAGGGAAGGTGATTACTTTGAATTTGAAGGAGGAGTTAAACAAGGGTGCCCTATATCTCCAATTGTTTGTTCAGCTAGGAGTTTCACTTAAAACTGGAAAATAAGGGTAAGGGTGGGTATTGGGGAATTTTCTGACAAAAATATAGAGAATTGAGGAAGTTTGATAATATTTAAACAAAAATTATAAACAATGTGAATAAGCTTATTACGATTATAAACAGAAAGTACATTAAAATATAAACAGAGTAAGCTAAATAACAACATCCCAAACTGGAGTAAATAGATGGTAACATTTGTTATAGTGTAATATAACATCATAGCTTTAGATAGGGAAGGCGATTACTTTGATGTTGAAGGAGGATTGAAACAAGGGTGCCCTTTATCTCCAACTTTATTCAATTGTGTTCTAAACAAACTGTTAAAAGAATTGAATTGGGAGAACCACGGGATATCAATCAATAGGAAAACACTGAGCTAAATAAGATATGCTGACAACATTTGCCAAGTATATCTAAATTGATAAAGAACGAATGATTGATGTCTGAAGGCGATTGACTCTACACGAGAAACTTCACCAGGCCGACACATTGAAAGGATTGACAGATCGAGAGCTCTTTCTCGATTCAACGGGTACAGAACAGCCATTCTTCATACTGACGCCTGCACGAAAAGATGGTTCAGGTTCATTCTTGGCAGGCTGCAGCCTGGAAGAGAAACTGAAGCGATGGGTCCTAACCCAGGTACTTTCCAGTTGGAACAGTCTGAAGACGGCTCAGAATGAATTTTGGCCATGAGATCCACAATGAAGAACCGAATTATAACATTAGATGAGCAAATGAATTTCAAAACACATTTATTTTAGAGAATTATTATTGTAGGGAAAGAAGCATTAATAAAACTTCTCAGTATCATCATTAATAAAATAATTAACAAAAATTCAATACTGCTGCGGAGAAAAGGGAGCAAGCCTGTTGTTCGGCATAAAAAAAGAAAAAAGAAAAATTTATCAAACTTTCGCTATCACACTGTGTGAAGGGCGTGAAGTGATAACCACATCATTAAGAAAAGTAGAGAATATAGCTTACAAGTTTAATTATGATTTGTTGACTATTACAAGGCATAGTCGTAGTGCATAGGCACCTCCATGATTCGATCAGACATAAATATATTTGGGAAGCTCTAAAAGAATGTGGTGTTGACAAACTCTACATTGATGTAATCACTGAACTATGTAGGAATCGAAAGGCATTTATAGCTATAGATAGGGAAGGTGATTACTTTAAAGTTGAAGGAGGAGTTAAACAAGGGTGCCCTCTATCTATCTATAAGTTTAATTATGATTTGTTGACTATTACATGGCATAGTCGTAGTGCATAGGCACCTCCATGATTCGATCAGACATAAATATATTTGGGGAGCTCTAAAAGAATGTGGTGTTGACAAACTCTACATTCATGTAATCACTGAACTATATAGGAATCGAAAGGCATTTATAGCTTTAGATAGGGAAGGTGATTACTTTGAAGTTGAAGGAGGAGTTAAACAAGGGTGCCCTCTATCTCCAATTGTTTGTTCAGCTAGGAGTTTCACTTAAAACTGGAAAATAAGGGTAAGGGTGGGTATTGGGGAATTTTCTGACAAAAATATAGAGAATTGAGGAAGTTTGATAATATTTAAACAAAAATTATAAACAATGTGAATAAGCTTATTACGATTATAAACAGAAAGTACATTAAAATATAAACAGAGTAAGCTAAATAACAACATCCCAAACTGGAGTAAATAGATGGTAACATTTGTTATAGTGTAATATAACATCATAGCTTTAGATAGGGAAGGCGATTACTTTGATGTTGAAGGAGGATTGAAACAAGGGTGCCCTTTATCTCCAACTTTATTCAATTGTGTTCTAAACAAACTGTTAAAAGAATTGAATTGGGAGAACCACGGGATATCAATCAATAGGAAAACACTGAGCTAAATAAGATATGCTGACAACATTTGCCAAGTATATCTAAATTGATAAAGAACGAATGATTGATGTCTGAAGGCGATTGACTCAACACGGGAAACTTCACCAGGCCGACACATTGAAAGGATTGACAGATCGAGAGATCTTTCTCGATTCAACGGGTACAGAACAGCCATTCTTCATACTGACGCCTGCACGAAAAGATGGTTCAGGTTCATTCTTGGCAGGCTGCAGCCTGGAAGAGAAACTGAAGCGATGGGTCCTAACCCAGGTACTTTCCAGTTGGAACAGTCTGAAGACGGCTCATAATGAATTTTGGCCATGAGATCCACAATGAAGAACCGAATTATAACATTAGATGAGCAAATGAATTTCAAAACACATTTATTTTAGAGAATTATTATTGTAGGGAAAGAAGCATTAATAAAACTTCTCAGTATCATCATTAATAAAATAATTAACAAAAATTCAATACTGCTGCGGAGAAAAGGGAGCAAGTCTGTTGTTCGGCATAAAAAAAGAAAAAAGAAAAATTTATCAAACTTTGGCTATCACACTGTGTGAAGGGCGTGAAGTGATAACCACATCATTAAGAAAAGTAGAGAATATAGCTAACAAGTTTAATTATGATTTGTTGACTATTACATGGCATAGTCGTAGTGCATAGGCACCTCCATGATTCGATCAGACATAAATATATTTGGGAAGCTCTAAAAGAATGTGGTGTTGACAAACTCTACATTGATGTAATCACTGAACTATGTAGGAATCGAAAGGCATTTATAGCTATAGATAGGGAAGGTGATTACTTTAAAGTTGAAGGAGGAGTTAAACAAGGGTGCCCTCTATCTATCTATAAGTTTAATTATGATTTGTTGACTATTACATGGCATAGTCGTAGTGCATAGGCACCTCCATGATTCGATCAGACATAAATATATTTGGGGAGCTCTAAAAGAATGTGGTGTTGACAAACTCTACATTCATGTAATCACTGAACTATATAGGAATCGAAAGGCATTTATAGCTTTAGATAGGGAAGGTGATTACTTTGAATTTGAAGGAGGAGTTAAACAAGGGTGCCCTCTATCTCCAATTGTTTGTTCAGCTAGGAGTTTCACTTAAAACTGGAAAATAAGGGTAAGGGTGGGTATTGGGGAATTTTCTGACAAAAATATAGAGAATTGAGGAAGTTTGATAATATTTAAACAAAAATTATAAACAATGTGAATAAGCTTATTACGATTATAAACAGAAAGTACATTAAAATATAAACAGAGTAAGCAAAATAACAACATCCCAAACTGGAGTAAATAGATGGTAACATTTGTTATAGTGTAATATAACATCATAGCTTTAGATAGGGAAGGCGATTACTTTGATGTTGAAGGAGGATTGAAACAAGGGTGCCCTTTATCTCCAACTTTATTCAATTGTGTTCTAAACAAACTGTTAAAAGAATTGAATTGGGAGAACCACGGGATATCAATCAATAGGAAAACACTGAGCTAAATAAGATATGCTGACAACATTTGCCATGTATATCTAAATTGATAAAGAACGAATGATTGATGTCTGAAGGCGATTGACTCAACACAGGAAACTTCACCAGGCCGACACATTGAAAGGATTGACAGATCGAGAGATCTTTCTCGATTCAACGGGTACAGAACAGCCATTCTTCATACTGACGCCTGCACGAAAAGATGGTTCAGGTTCATTCTTGGCAGGCTGCAGCCTGGAAGAGAAACTGAAGCGATGGGTCCTAACCCAGGTACTTTCCAGTTGGAACAGTCTGAAGACGGCTCATAATGAATTTTGGCCATGAGATCCACAATGAAGAACCGAATTATAACATTAGATGAGCAAATGAATTTCAAAACACATTTATTTTAGAGAATTATTATTGTAGGGAAAGAAGCATTAATAAAACTTCTCAGTATCATCATTAATAAAATAATTAACAAAAATTCAATACTGCTGCGGAGAAAAGGGAGCAAGTCTGTTGTTCGGCATAAAAAAAGAAAAAAGAAAAATTTATCAAACTTTGGCTATCACACTGTGTGAAGGGCGTGAAGTGATAACCACATCATTAAGAAAAGTAGAGAATATAGCTTACAAGTTTAATTATGATTTGTTGACTATTACATGGCATAGTCGTAGTGCATAGGCACCTCCATGATTCGATCAGACATAAATATATTTGGGGAGCTCTAAAAAAATGTGGTGTTGACAAACTCTACATTGATGTAATCACTGAACTATGTAGGAATCGAAAGGCATTTATAGCTTTAGATAGGGAAGGTGATTACTTTGAAGTTGAAGGAGGAGTTAAACAAGGGTGCCCTCTATCTATCTATAAGTTTAATTATGATTTGTTGACTATTACATGGCATAGTCGTAGTGCATAGACACCTCCATGATTCGATCAGACATAAATATATTTGGGGAGCTCTAAAAGAATGTGGTGTTGACAAACTCTACATTCATGTAATCACTGAACTATATAGGAATCGAAAGGCATTTATAGCTTTAGATAGGGAAGGTGATTACTTTGAAGTTGAAGGAGGAGTTAAACAAGGGTGCCCTCTATCTCCAATTGTTTGTTCAGCTAGGAGTTTCACTTAAAACTGGAAAATAAGGGTAAGGGTGGGTATTGGGGAATTTTCTGACAAAAATATAGAGAATTGAGGAAGTTTGATAATATTTAAACAAAAATTATAAACAATGTGAATAAGCTTATTACGATTATAAACAGAAAGTACATTAAAATATAAACAGAGTAAGCTAAATAACAACATCCCAAACTGGAGTAAATAGATGGTAACATTTGTTATAGTGTAATATAACATCATAGCTTTAGATAGGGAAGGCGATTACTTTGATGTTGAAGGAGGATTGAAACAAGGGTGCCCTTTATCTCCAACTTTATTCAATTGTGTTCTAAACAAACTGTTAAAAGAATTGAATTGGGAGAACCACGGGATATCAATCAATAGGAAAACACTGAGCTAAATAAGATATGCTGACAACATTTGCCAAGTATATCTAAATTGATAAAGAACGAATGATTGATGTCTGAAGGCGATTGACTCAACACGGGAAACTTCACCAGGCCGACACATTGAAAGGATTGACAGATCGAGAGCTCTTTCTCGATTCAACGGGTACAGAACAGCCATTCTTCATACTGACGCCTGCACGAAAAGATGGTTCAGGTTCATTCTTGGCAGGCTGCAGCCTGGAAGAGAAACTGAAGCGATGGGTCCTAACCCAGGTACTTTCCAGTTGGAACAGTCTGAAGACGGCTCATAATGAATTTTGGCCATGAGATCCACAATGAAGAACCGAATTATAACATTAGATGAGCAAATGAATTTCAAAACACATTTATTTTAGAGAATTATTATTGTAGGGAAAGAAGCATTAATAAAACTTCTCAGTATCATCATTAATAAAATAATTAACAAAAATTCAATACTGCTGCGGAGAAAAGGGAGCAAGTCTGTTGTTCGGCATAAAAAAAGAAAAAAGAAAAATTTATCAAACTTTCGCTATCACACTGTGTGAAGGGCGTGAAGTGATAACCACATCATTAAGAAAAGTAGAGAATATAGCTTACAAGTTTAATTATGATTTGTTGACTATTACATGGCATAGTCGTAGTGCATAGGCACCTCCATGATTCGATCAGACATAAATATATTTGGGAAGCTCTAAAAGAATGTGGTGTTGACAAACTCTACATTGATGTAATCACTGAACTATGTAGGAATCGAAAGGCATTTATAGCTATAGATAGGGAAGGTGATTACTTTAAAGTTGAAGGAGGAGTTAAACAAGGGTGCCCTCTATCTATCTATAAGTTTAATTATGATTTGTTGACTATTACATGGCATAGTCGTAGTGCATAGGCACCTCCATGATTCGATCAGACATAAATATATTTGGGGAGCTCTAAAAGAATGTGGTGTTGACAAACTCTACATTCATGTAATCACTGAACTATATAGGAATCGAAAGGCATTTATAGCTTTAGATAGGGAAGGTGATTACTTTGAAGTTGAAGGAGGAGTTAAACAAGGGTGCCCTCTATCTCCAATTGTTTGTTCAGCTAGGAGTTTCACTTAAAACTGGAAAATAAGGGTAAGGGTGGGTATTGGGGAATTTTCTGACAAAAATATAGAGAATTGAGGAAGTTTGATAATATTTAAACAAAAATTATAAACAATGTGAATAAGCTTATTACGATTATAAACAGAAAGTACATTAAAATATAAACAGAGTAAGCTAAATAACAACATCCCAAACTGGAGTAAATAGATGGTAACATTTGTTATAGTGTAATATAACATCATAGCTTTAGATAGGGAAGGCGATTACTTTGATGTTGAAGGAGGATTGAAACAAGGGTGCCCTTTATCTCCAACTTTATTCAATTGTGTTCTAAACAAACTGTTAAAAGAATTGAATTGGGAGAACCACGGGATATCAATCAATAGGAAAACACTGAGCTAAATAAGATATGCTGACAACATTTGCCAAGTATATCTAAATTGATAAAGAACGAATGATTGATGTCTGAAGGCGATTGACTCAACACGGGAAACTTCACCAGGCCGACACATTGAAAGGATTGACAGATCGAGAGCTCTTTCTCGATTCAACGGGTACAGAACAGCCATTCTTCATACTGACGCCTGCACGAAAAGATGGTTCAGGTTCATTCTTGGCAGGCTGCAGCCTGGAAGAGAAACTGAAGCGATGGGTCCTAACCCAGGTACTTTCCAGTTGGAACAGTCTGAAGACGGCTCATAATGAATTTTGGCCATGAGATCCACAATGAAGAACCGAATTATAACATTAGATGAGCAAATGAATTTCAAAACACATTTATTTTAGAGAATTATTATTGTAGGGAAAGAAGCATTAATAAAACTTCTCAGTATCATCATTAATAAAATAATTAACAAAAATTCAATACTGCTGCGGAGAAAAGGGAGCAAGTCTGTTGTTCGGCATAAAAAAAGAAAAAAGAAAAATTTATCAAACTTTCGCTATCACACTGTGTGAAGGGCGTGAAGTGATAACCACATCATTAAGAAAAGTAGAGAATATAGCTTACAAGTTTAATTATGATTTGTTGACTATTACAAGGCATAGTCGTAGTGCATAGGCACCTCCATGATTCGATCAGACATAAATATATTTGGGAAGCTCTAAAAGAATGTGGTGTTGACAAACTCTACATTGATGTAATCACTGAACTATGTAGGAATCGAAAGGCATTTATAGCTATAGATAGGGAAGGTGA